CTCTCCTCTCCTCTCCTCTCCTCTCCTCTCCTCTCCTCTCCTCTCCTCTCCTATTCTATTCTATTCTATTCTCTCCTATTCCATTCCCTTCCATCCCATCCCATTTCATTCCATTCCATAGCTTATGTAGGGGGCTGGGCTAGAAGACCTCCAAGGTCCCTTCCAACTCTGATATTTTGTTAGACTCATTGCTAGTAATGATATTCTCTGGCTTCCTAGATATAGTGACCACTCCTTCTCCGAATGAGTATCACGTGGAGAAATTGCACCCCATCGATGAACCCAATGCTCCAGCGTATAGCATCAGTGCGCGAACGCCCTATTGGTTGAACAACCCAACTCCAGCTCCCAACAAATACGCATTGCCTCCGACCCTGGGCCCCAAGGTGCCCAATAAAAGGGCAGCTCCCTGCCTGTCAATCTCTTCCATCGCTCCTGGACGAAATTATATGCTGAGAACAGGGCCTGGCCCAGCCGCCTACACTATTCCAGAGCCAGACATTTACTTGCGACATCAGCCATCCCATACAATGTCTCAAAGGTTTATTCCATCCAGCAAGGAACATACACCGGGCCCGCTGGACTATGGTGTAGAACAGGTCACCCTCCACAAGCCCAGAGCCCCATGCTTCAGCCTGGGTGTTCGCCACTCCGAATACGCCCATGGCACTCCTACGGTTTGCCTGATCCAAGAGTGAGTGTGGACCACCATTGGAAGACCAGATGATCTTCAGCGAAGTTCAACTGCCAAAGGTGTCATCCTGGGAGAGCTCCATCCACTAGGTTCAAGCCAGCTGGTGGGCAGTCTAAGGAGAGAGATTGCCTTTAGAAGTTGTGGATGGATGACGGTTCAGTTGGGGCTGCAGGTCATTTTTCAGTCTATGGAACCAAGGTTGCAAAATCCTGGTCCAGTCCTTCCTGATTTCTTCCCTGTCCTTCTGGAATTTCCTAATAATGTTTTCCCAGAAAGTGTTTTTATCTATTGCTTACTCCTCCCCATGGATTTATGGCTGGAAAAGGTTTCTGAAGAACAGGGAGACAAATTTCTGTGTCCTTTTTCTGTGATTATTTAAAGTACAATAAAATAATTTATAGGTAATAAGTCCATAGTATACTTTCTTTGAAGCAGAAGTTCTCCTGGGCCTTGGATTCCATTTTGGGAAAGTAATTTGATTACTTACAGTAATCCAGAGATTTAATTGAATTATGTCACCTTGAAGCTCTGCCATAAATACAGTTGGAATTCAGTTGAGTAGGAATCTTAACTTGGGGCTATCTGCAGGTCTAAAAGTTGAACTATAAGATGATGCTAGACTACATTTCCCAGCATCCCACACCATTGGCCCAATTGCCTTGGCCTCTTGGAAACTGTAGTTCAGCAAGTACACTCAACACCAAGGAATATACAACATGAAATTTAGTGGTAGGATTACAGACCTTCTCCAGAAGATGGCACCCTCGACTTATGATTTTGGACTGAATTTGGACTGTCTCCGTTGAATTTCTACCTTTTGTAGGTGATAGTAACCCAACATGACAAGAAAACAAGGAGAAAGCAGAGCTTCGAGAAATAAACTCCCCAAGGCAAAATGATGGTCCAGTATTTACTCTGTGATTGCTCAAAAATACAAATTCAGAAAGAAAGGACTGTACACCACAGTGTCCCAAGCTAACCTTATTTTTTAGTTATTTATGTCCCATGCATTTATGTCCCATGGTGTCACCCGTTCATCAACCCCTCCATGGGTGAAATTCATGTAGCTAAGCTATCTTGATTTAATTCAGAATTGGGGTGGATGGACTCACCAATGCTCTTCAGATGTCTATTGGGAAAGGATCCAGAATTGTGTTCTGAAATGCTCATTTGGTTCTGGCTCTTTTTAGATGCCTGTATTGGTATGACAATAACACTAATAATAATTTGGATTAGACTTTCTATGTTCCCATTCCTGAAATTTCTCATTGTCCTAGAGAAGAAGAAGGTCACCCCTGGACCTTCCAATTTGTTCTTCCTCCTCTTCGGTCATGTAAGGCAACAAGGCTTATTGTTGAGGACTTTCACCAAATACATGTTTCTTCTGCCTTGAACTCTACTTCTCCAAGCTTCCAGCTTCTTTCCTTCTGATACCCAAGACTCTAGAAATGCAAGGTCTCTATTCCATAAAGCATATCTTCAAGCCTGTGTGAAAAGCTTTGCTGTGCAAAACCTCAAGCTTGTACATTTATGAGAATGTTTGGAATATTCAAATCCTGCACACGTTAGGGAAGGTGCAACAGCCAGTTTGCAAGTACAGAAGATGCATTTAAGTGTGCCAGATAAAGTGTTACACTTAAGAAACAAACTCCACAAATGTGTATGCCTTTGGTGAACTTTATTGGGTGCTTATTTACCACCAAGAGTCTCGATTGTTGAGAAACTGAAAATCACAAATTGGGAGTAGTTGCATAATATATGTACACACGCATTATTATGTTTCTGTCTCCCTGTTTGTCTGTCTATCACCTATTTATTGATCTTAAATAATCTTACATCTTAGAGAAAAATGAACAGAGAACTGTGCATTATCAGATAGTGGAAAAAGACAATGACGATGATGAAGAAGAAGAAGAGGAGGAGGAGGAGGAGGAACAACTACAACATGAAGGATGCAATTTCAGTGGATTATACACCCTTACTCTGTATAATATTGTACTGAACTTTGTTGCAAAAAACATTTTGAAAAAAAAAGACTGAAACTATTCCTAAATGAAGCAATACTATAATTACAAGGAAAAAACTGACTAAATATACAGAGCAGATGTTGTTGGGCTCTGTTCTCTTCCGAAGACTTTGTAGTTTTATTCTCAATAGTTTCTCAACTGCATGAGGATGTCAGCCATGTCCAAAACCCACAAGTTGTTAGAAGAACCATAATTTTCCTCTGATGTGGATCTGGTAGCTATTATTGACCATCCAGTGAAGAACGGTGAAGAACAGGAAGAAGAAAAGGGTAGTTAGGAGTTTTGGGAAGCAAATTGGAATTAATTGACCAAAATACAACATGCCAAATCTCCATTCTAAATGTTGATGTTGCTTCCTTTGATTATATGGTTGATTGTTGGATTTGAGCTCTCTCTATGATCATTTTCTCACTAGAACTGATGAAGCTTCTTGGATGAGAAGTGCAATGTCTTCTTCCGCAAGGAAAAAAATATAGTCCAGTTGCCTTTTGAGAAAAAGCACCTTTGAGACAACCATAATCTGGGTGATTTAGAATCTCTGTGGATATTTCCTTACTAATAATTAGCATTATCCATCTGTTGCTGTCTTGATGCTACAATAAGAATTGAATATCTAACTAAGGGTTGAATAACTTAGAGGACACTCAAGGGTATGAATGGGGAATCTTAGCTTAGTTTCCCTTCCATGCCCACCACAACTTTCCCAAAGTCAGTGTTACTACTGCTGGATTAGCATTAGACCACCTCTGGATAGGATTTAGGACATCCGCCCTAAATTAGCATGCATTCCCATACACTGGTGTTCTCCTGCCATCCTTGGAATCAAGGAGAACCTCTTCCCCAAATCAGCTTCTCTAAAATTCCATCTGTTCTGCTATTTTTTTTTTTAAACCGATAAAACTGAGGATTTGCTTTAAAGCCCTGGGTGTTATGGGGGGCTGTGCAAGTATTGTATTTGGAGATTTGATTCAAAGGTGATTGAGCTGCCTCGCTGTTCTGCTCCGATTCTCCAGATCAGAAAGTCACTTTAAAGTGTCGGATTGAATTGGATTGAACGGAGTGATTTGCACACTTTTGCCCGTGAACCAAAACAGCCTCTCTCTCTGTTTTTAACCAATTCAGAATCCAAATGAAATCAACTTGATGATTTAATTTGAATGCCTAAGATGAACATTCAATCAAATCGGATCATTTTTGCTGAATAAAATCGATGATTCGAGCCATGATTGGCTTGATTAACACTGCAGAATTTCATCATAATGCAAGCTATTGTTAAAGTAGGGCTATTGAGGAGCTGGCTGAAGGAGCTGCTGGAGGCTTAGGGGTAGCAGAATAAGGAAAAGCTAGGGGAGAAACAGAGGAAGCACCAACTGTTGTTCCTACCAACCAGAAACAGTCTCAGGCTGAGTCTTCCAGTTGCAATTGCCCGAGGAGACCTCAGGGGGAGAAAGGAGGAAGTTGAACTGCTTCATCTCTATCTGGGATAGACATCTTAGAAAGAATGTGACACTCCTAGATTGAACTGGCTATGTATCACCCTTGATTGTCCCTCTTCTTGATCAGAAAGCAACACAAGAATTCCATAATATAAATTCTCCTGGGACATCTGTCCATGGGTTTCAACTGAAGCATGAGAACCCAAGGAGGTTGCAGACTTAACAGCATAGCAGAGTTGGAATGGACTTTGGAGGTCTTCTAGTGGTCCAATCCCCTGATCAAGCAGGAGACTTCCTAGACCTTTTCAGACTCATAGTTGTCCAATGTCTTCTTAAGAGGTTGAGTTCTGGAGCTAGGAATGCATACTGCAAGCCTTGTCTTTGAAGAACATGCTTCTACCCATGAGAAGGGTGCTGAGAATGGCCTTACTTAAACCGAGCACACGAGATCTCATTAAACAGGAGAAAAAAAGAGTTAGGTTGCAGAATCCTAGAAATTAGGTAATGTATATTCCAGCTCTCATTAATTAGTGATACATTAAGGCAGAGGGTTTGCGAGCTGTTTGATCTCACTTCACATGGACTTCCTAATGGATGGACTCAGGACCCACTGGAGGTATGGCTGAAAAGTGTTCCTCCTTTCCCCTGGTTTGAAACCTCCCTTTTCTCTCCTTGGCTTCGAAAATTTCTTCAGCCTTGCAGAATTTTTCTTCTCCTTGAGGGGGGAAAGGACATCAAAAGCCACTTCTGTTCCCTCCAGCTGAATGGGAGGAGGGTAAAAATAATGCAGTGGGAAAAGTTTGGATCAGCAGTTGATTTAGTGGTAATGAGAAAGGCTCTCGCTGTGGTGTGGGAACTTTGGTGGTTATTATGACATACTCGTTGCCAACCTTTGCTTAATTGCCAACATCATCTGGCTTGTACAAACTGGGCCTTGATATCTACACATCTGGATCTGCAGGGAAGTTGTTCCTGCCAAAAATGATAGAATACAGGAGAGAAAAAGAATCAAAATGCGGCAAAGCACCAACAATTAAAAGCTAGACTTTAGGAAATGAATCACCATGATAAATAGGGTTATCATTTGGGGAGGGAAAACTGGTTGCTGTTCCTGGACTACCCAGACTTTGATTTTTGTCTCATGGAGACCCATTTTTTAAAAAACCCAGAGGAGGTGGCTATCAAGTCTGGTATCTTCGGCATGTGACTCTCTGTTGGGCTGTGACCATTCCTGTGAAGGAGAACCACCTTGGCCGCCAAGTCTGATTGGTGTGATTCTGGTTCTGCATCCAACCAGGCTTCCTAGGATGTGTCGTCCAATAGATCTGGATGCCAGGATTGGATAGCTGGGTTCAATGAATACATCTGTGTTGGATTAGTGGAAGAATGGGTTTTTGTCCAGCAGGATTCTTCTAATGCAGCGTTTCTGTTTCTCAGCCGTAGCAGCTTTATAATGGGTGGACTTCAACTCCCATAAATCTCAATCCCTTCCCTTTTCTCCTCCCTCCCTCCCTCCCACCCACCCTTCCTTCCTTCCTTCC